TAAACAGATTCAACACTGCTCAATACATTCAAATATATCACATCTATCCTCTCCCTGAAATCAAATGGGCCCAAAACCTTCAGAAGTATTTGTGGGGGAACAACCAAAGGTTCAGTTACAAGTCAAATCTTTTAGGTGGTTTGTATTTTCTCTGTGGTTAGCATCTGCCAACATTTTGAACATTTCCCTGAGGAAGTGGTGTGTCCACAGTAATGTCTGAATTGGATGTTCCCTCAGATGATGCTGATGGTTCAATGAAGCTGTTTTCTGGTATAATGTTATTGCTTCAGGTTGGGGCACCAGTGTTAAAGTGCATTAGCGCACTGTCTGATATGACCAATTGTTTTGCTTCCAGGAAAGCTTTTTGACACTCACATGACTATACACACTTTTGACCAGTCTGCAGCAAACAGTTGAGCAGATGCAATACAGTTGCTAGGTGTGGTGTAAATCGGCTATAGTAGTTAATAAATCCTAGAAATGTTCTAAGTTGTGACACATTCTTTGGCAGCGGAGCTTCCAGCACTGCTTTAATCTTCTTCTGAGATTTATGTAGGCCTTGTGCATCAGTAACATGCACACAATAAGCTACTGAGTCCTTGAAAAGTTCACATTTTATGCAATTGGCTTGTAACCCATATTCTTTTAGACACTCTAATATCCTCTTCAGGGATTCCAGGTCTTCCTCGTCACTTCTACTGCTCACAGTCATGTCATCCAGATACCACTGTATTCTCGGAATACCTTGCAAAACTTGGTCCATTGCCCATTGCCATTTAGCAGGAGCTGAAGCAATACTACACACTAGTATAGTACACACTAGCCTGCTGTACTGGTAGAGAGCCTTTTGTGTGTTGATTGTGAGGTTTGCCTTAGACTTTTCCTGAACTTCCATGTGTAGGTATTTTCAGTACAGGGTTTATGGTGACCTTAAAATATCCACAAACTCTTACTGCACCACATTTTTTTACAATTGGAATGATAGGAGTTCCCCATGTGCTCCAGGCCACTTTTGAAATTTTCCAGACGTTCCAATTCAGCATTTACCTTTGCGCGAATACTGTAAGGTACAGGCTGGGTTTTGTGAAACTTGGGTTGTGCCTTCTCGGCTAGGATTATTTTAGCCTTCATGTGTTTTAGTGTTCCTGTGCCCTCCTAGATTATTCCCAATGCCTGACATAGTATCCCTTCCAGCTGTTTTAGTGGGGTATACTGAAAGTGACTTTATAGATCTTTCCAGTCCAGAAGAACATATTCATAAATGATCTGGGAAAAGGGGTAAACAGTGAGGTGGCAAAATTTGCAGATGATACAAAACTACTTAAGATAGGTAAGTCCCAGGGAGACTGTGAAGAGCTACAAAAGGATCTCTCAAAACTGGGTGACTGGGCAACAAAATGGCAGATGAAATTTAATGTTGATAAATGCAAAGTAATGCACACTGGAAAACATAATCCTAACGATACATATACAATGATGGGGTCTAAATTAGCTGTTGCCACTCAGGAAAGAGATCTTGGTGTCATTGTGGATAGTTCTCTGAAATCATCCACTCAATGTGCAGCGGCAGTCAAAAAAGCAAACAGAATGTTGGGAATCATCAAGTAAGGGATAGATAAGAAGACAGAAAATATCATATTGCCTCTATATAAATCCATGGTATGCCCACACCTTGAATACTGCATGCAGATGTGGTCGTCCCATCTCAAAAAAGATATATTGGAATTGGAAAAGGGCAACAAAAATGATTAGGAGTATAGAATGGTTTCCGTATAAGGAGAGATTATTAAGACTGAGACTTTTCAGCTTGGAAAAGAGGCGACTAAGGGGGGATATGATAGAGGTCTATAAAATCATGAGTGGTATAGAGAAAGTAAATAAGGAAGTGTTATTTACTCCCTTTCATAATACAAGAACAAGGGGCCACCAAATGAAATTAATAGGTAGCAGGTTTAAAACAAACATAAGAAAGTATTTTTTCACACAACGCACTGTCAACCTCTGGAACTCCTTGCCAGAGGGTGTTACGAAGGCCAATACTATTGGGGTTCAAAAGGGAGCTAGATAGATTCATGGAAGATAGGTCCATCAATGGCTATTAACCAGGATGTGCAGGAATGGCATCCCTAGCCTCTGTTTGCTAGAAGCTGGGATTGGGTGACAGTGCATGGATCACTTGATGATAACCTGTCTGTTCATTCCCTTTGGGGCACCTGCCTTTGGCCACTGTCAGAAGACAGTTATACTGGGCTTGATGGACCTTTGGTCTGACCCAGTATGGCCGTTCTTATGTTCTTAACCATTCATGGCCCCATAGGGCCCCCCTTCTCAATGATATGGGAGTCTAATAAACGTTGCTTATTGTTATACTCCACATTCACTTGCTTTACTCCAGTTGGTACTATCTTTTCTCCCATATATGTTTTAGTAACATCAGTGTCTCCCTCAGTTAGTTATTTTTAAAGTTTTCATATATTCCGAACATGAGACTATGGAGCCAGTGTCCAATTCCATTTCGAGCATTTTTCCCACCACCCAGGGTGTCAACCCGATTGCTGACTTGTGATTTTTTCTCACACTATATCCACAACTGGCTACACCACTCAGTCTGTGTCACCACTGCTTCTGTCTACAGAGTGTACATTGATACACATCGATCCTTTTTCTATATCCCAATTTGGTCTCTTCTTTATTTCTTATAGCGTGACATACTGTTTGGATATGACCTTTTTTATTACAGTTTCTGCACTGTGCATCTTTAAATAAGCAATCACAAGGAGCATGGAACACTTTTCCAAACTGATAACAAGTGTCTGTTTCCTGAGTGGACTGGCACTTTCCTTGGGTTTCAGATAGTTTGTGTGTTCCTACTTCTGTTTTAGCTCCAGTATGCATGTATGATGTCCTCTTGGATATTTGAGCATCCAGCTCCCAAACTCTTACCGCTGCTTTTGTTATTCTGACTTCTGCTTCCACCTTTGCTTCTGCTTTGAATTTACTACTGCACCTTTACCTTTTGCTGCATCATGTTCCACCATTTTGCTGGGACACTTAGAAACTCCCTTGTAACCAAATGTTGAACCTATGGGTGTGCTGTATGGTGCAGATATGATGCAGAGAAATTCATAACATTTGCTGATAGATGTCTCTGGAGTGTATTGCTGACTTTATAAAACTGTTTAGAATTGTAAGTAATCTCCATATGTTGCTCTCTCTTCTCACCCCTTGGCTTTTCTCTATGCTTCTTAAATACTGGCTAATTATGGGTATTTCCCTTTCTCCTCCCAACACATTATTTTTAGGTTAAACTTGAATTTGAAATAAAGGTCAGTGGATTAACTAATTGCAGTTTTGCTCAGGTTTCTTTTTTTTTTATTATTATTATAAAGAGATAACTGTTGACTCTCCAGGCAAAATCTTCCCTTAGGATGTGTTTGATTACAACAGAGGGTCCTGTGGCACCTTTGAGACTAACAGAAGTATTGGGAGCATAAGCTTAAGAAGTGAGGTTCTTACCCACGAAAGCTTATGCTCCCAATACTTCTGTTAGTCTCAAAGGTGCCACAGAATGCTCTGTTGCTTTTTACAGATTCAAACTAACACGACTACCCCTCTGATACTTGATTACAACAATAAACTTTTTGGTCTGGAATTGCAAACATTAACCATACATGTGACCATTGTCTCTTAACCACAATTATTTTTTGGAACCTCATTTATTAAACTTTTATGGATTGTCAGTGTAGTAAAAGGGAGGTGAGTAATGTAAACTTTTTAATGGTTGTAATTATCCGAATGTATTGATTGTGATGTTATGGTTGCGTGATGTGAAGGGTATGAGTGGGGAGCAGGGACAACATATAGATTCCCAAGGCCAGCTTTAATTTGCACATTTTTATATTTTGTTTTATTTTTCAGTCTTTGAGAGGAATATAGTTAAAACTTGCTCTTATTTTAAACTGATGTATATGTTTCTGTTATATTTTGGGGAATTTCTGCGACACAGGAGCTTCCCAAGGCGAAGGCAAAATTATACAGAAGAATACAGTGATTTAACGCAATTTAAATTTTAATACCAGCTTGTGCTATTTTTTTTCATGTGCATTATGCAAAAATCTCAAGAACAGTGGATAATTAAGGACAGATTAAAGCCGTTAGTATACAGGAAACTTTTGACTTTAAGATTTTATTTAGATGTTATAAAATATAATTCCTTTTCACTCTTGAAATGATAGATTTTGGCATGTGTTTTTTAATGTGGTGGATTAAGAAAATTACTTTTTATGATTAGAGATGTAATTTACCCATCAATTATTGTGTTGCCACTATATCCGCAGTTACTCAATTCCAGTGCCCTGGAATGGCTTATTGGGGCTTTTAGTTTGGGGTAGATTCCGTTTCCACCAAATACTTTCTCCATGCAGGTTGGGTGTCAGTTTCAATGTACAGTACCAGAAAAAAAAAATTGACGTGCAAACTATCATTTGCAGTGTTTTACTAAAGACTATCTTTGCATCTGACAAGCAGGGCCGGCTCCAGGGTTTTGGCCGCCCCAAGCAGCCAAAAAAAAAAAAAATCGCGATCTGCGGCGGCGATTCGGCGGGAGGTCCTTTGCTCCCAGCGGGAGTGAGGGACCGTCCGCCGAATTGCCACTGAATACCTGGACGTGCCGCCCCTCTCCGGAGCAGCCGCCCCAAGCACCTGCTTGCCAGGCTGGTGCCTGGAGCCGGCCCTGCTGACAAGACTAGATTATAGATATACTTAAAATGTCAGTACTTGTATTTCTCTAAATTGTAATGTATTTTTTGGATAACTTCATAAAACTAATGACATTTCAGTTTTATTTATAACAGTAACTTAAAGCAAATATGTTTTGTGTATTTTTAAGAGATTATTTTGGATCCTGAGGAGGAATGTGCAGTAAATTCATTGAATAAGTTGTCATGTAGCACAAAATACCCAATGATTCATTTGCATTATATTTTTGCATCTTACTGCAGGCAGAGAATTCAGCATTGGCTCTGGAAAATGAAAATCAAAGAGAACAGTATGAAAAGTGCCTCGATGAGGTAATGTAGATTTAAGAAAGATTTTATGACTGAGTTTCTCTGACTGTAATGAACAACAAACAGGCAGTTTCCCCAAGCCTGCCTTTCCAGTAGGTTCCCAGCCCTAGAAGCTCTGTTGTTCTGCTCTCAGGGCCACCCTCATGACTGTGTCTCTCACTGTCTGCTAACTTTCTCTCCTCTAACACACACAGCTTGCCAAACAATCCTTTAGCACTTTGTTTACAATCAGGGAGCCCTCAGCTCACATGGGTAGTTTAGCATCTGCTCAGGCCTCGCCATGCAGCCCATTGCCTTGGGTGATGGCTTCTGTTGTTTTCAGCTATTTCATTACATAAAGGGACTTAACTGCTCCTTCCATTTAGCCTGAAAGAAGGGTGCTTAGCACCAGGCCCAGCTTAACCAATGTGCACTCTGTGCCCTTGCACAGGGCCCCCATCTCGGGGGGGGGGGGTGGAGAGGGGAGAAGGGCTGGCGACCACTGCAGGAGGGGAGAGCAATGGGTAACTGGCCTGTCAGAGCGTTTTATTTTGCCCACTACATTAATTCCTGATCTCACTGCAGTGCTGTGACCTGCTGCTGGCCATAGAAGGCAGGCTGCTGCTGCTGCCACTGCTGCTCTGTTCTCCTGCAGTGGATGGCACTGGCTAGCGGCGCTGGGATTTTTTTACTTGGAAGCAAAGCATGGTCAGGCTATTGCGGCTGCCTAACTCGTGTAAGAGCTGGTGTTACTGGTTGTTGCTCTATGGAAGGATATGTAGCCTCTTTAAAACAAAAACAAACAAACAAACAAAATATGGCCCACCAAAAGGTTTTAAAGGATTTTGTGGCTGTCTGCTCCCACCAGCACATGCTCTGTCTAGTTTGGCTTTAACCAGATCTGTGATTGTCTATAACTCAGATAGACAGCAGCCTTTACACCTTGAATCACAGCAACACATAGCAGCCTGTGCATTTAAAAAAGCAAACCACTACACTACACACACAATTCTCCCCTTGGAGAAAGGACGAGAGAGAGAGAACAAATCACATATGACAGATACTAGCCACATCACTTAATCCACTGGTGGAAGGTAGGCTCAGATATTATGGTGGTGTAAGAACCTAATTAGGATGGAATATAAGAATTTAATACGTTTAATATGAAATTGTGAAGCTTTGTTTTTTATTATCTTCTTGTCTTGGATATGATGTGGCTACAGAAGTCATTTCAGCACTGGGTTAAGTTACCCATCATTGAGAAAATAAAAGGGGTCCACATACACCTCTACCTTGATATAACGCTGTCCTCGGGAGCCAAAAAATCTTACCGCGTTATAGGTGAAACCGCGTTATATCCAACTTGCTTTGATCCGCCGGAGTGTGCAGCCTTGCCCGCCCGGAGCGCCACTTTACCGCGTTATATCCGAATTCATGTTATATCGGGTTGCGTTATATCGGGGTAGAGGTGTATTTAGACTGTAAGCATTTTGGGGCAGGAGAACCTCTTTTTGGTGTGTATTTGTACAGTGCCTAGCACAAAGGGGTCCTAGACTATGATTGTGGCTCCTACGTGCTACTGCAATACAAATAATATTCATTTTGAAACTGTGCTCCAGATTTTATTTTCTCAGTGCTTAAGTCAGGTGATTCAGGTCTTCCGCTGGCATATCTGTCCCTTCTCACTCTGTGAACGCTGTCCTGGAGGCAGTGTTTCTTGTCTGTAAGTGACAAGGGCTGCTGTTTCCAGTAAGGTACATTTTCTTGTGTCTTGCCTCTAGTCTTTTCTGTGTTCCCTTATTTTTTTCCTATGCCTCTGTTATTTCTAAGCTCCACTCTTCTTCTTCGCCTCACTTGTTACCCACTCTATTTCTCATCTCTTTCCCCACCTCCAATCCTTTGACCTCTCTCTTCCTAGTGATATTGTAACCTGCTCTATCTCAGCCAAGATAGGCCTGGACCTATGTGAGCAATGATGCACATAAATTCGTTTCAGCAGCCATGACAACCTCACCACAAACCTGGAGACAAACACTGTGAGTTCCAACTATGACAGCCACATGGGCATCTAACACTGAGTGGGCTCACGCAGGAATGGCACTCACAGGAAGGTTCACAAAATAAACAGGGACCTTTCCGTCTACTCTTCTGAGATAATCTCAGTGAATTCAGTAAAGAAACAATAAACAGAATTAATGATCTGACGTAAACACAATTAAGAAATAATCCATTAATGCCCATGGAACCCTGTGGCTCCAATTGCCTTGGATCCCATGGACCCCTCTGGAGCAAGCATACCCTGATACAAAGTTATTCCTAACCAGGGATTTTCAGCAGAGCTGGTCAAAAAATAAAAACATTTTAAAAAATTGTGAAAAATTGTCCATTTTTTGGTTGGAAAACTTCTGTTCTTTATGGCTCTAGGCCCAAAGCAAAGCTCCACTTCTCACAGGCAAGAGCTCCTTCCCTGGTCCTTTTCTTGTTTGGGCCAGATTCTAGGAGCTTCCTCTGCAATCCTTAGGACCAGAGATCAGCTGCCTCATTCTCTTTCCTTCCAGGATGTCTCACATGTTCACTTCTGCCACCAAAATGACCTGGTTGGCTGAGGGGAAGGGGCTCAGTTGTCCCTCAAAACAGCAGGCTCTGATCAGTCCCAGAGTTGCAGTAGATCAGCCCTCTGAAAGAGACAACAAGGAGTCTGGTGGCATCTTAAAGACTAACAGATTTATTTGGGCATAAGCTTTCGTGAGTTAAAACCTCA